TCCCCTTTTCCCCCACCCCCCACCCCCCATTTCTCTAATGATGGGCAAAAAAGGAAGTTTATCGCTTCACACGATTGTAAAGCAGATAAATTACTTATTTACTGCCGAAAAAATTTCTGTGAGAGCTTGGAAACTTTCAAAATAACAAGACAGCGGAACAAAATAGGGACCCTGTCAGGTTTTTTCGACGTTGCCCGATAAAGATGGATGTTTGGCCTGGCAGTAGGAAAACCAATTTTCCCATGGATTTTCAAGTCGTTTCGATAGTAAACTCGTACTACTCTTCCCAAGTAAGCCAGACGTCTAAAAAGCAGCCATTCTATTTTTCAATTAATTCCCAGGGGCAAGTAATAAATGCTGGTTAGTTTCTGGCTTTTTTTTTTTTGTTCTAATTATAGATTGTTTCCGAAATAACTTTCCCTTGCGAAAGATCCAAACTTGAAAAAATGGCCAACTAGGCCAATTAGAAACACTGGTAGCAGGAAGTTACAAAAATACTGAGCAGACCCTGATTCCGTAACTATGCTATCTAGAATAAAGCAGGTAATTCGGAGCCGATTTGCCTGGGAAGCTAGAGCTGTTGTTTTCTTAAAAAACTTCAGGAAAGGGAATCATCAACGGTCTTGCCAGCAAATAGTTTTTATTCCTAGAAGATAATTCATTTGGCCTGAGAAATCAGGGAATGAAAAGGGGTAGGACGGCAAGGGGGATAATGTAAATTTGAAGGGATCCACCCAGCCTAGAAGCTAGGCCTCGCAAGTGCTAACGCCCCCGAGCAGCTTCTTTTTTTTTGCAAAAGATATATCCACCGAGGCATAGCAAAATCATTCTCAAATCTTAAACTCTCCATCACATCATTTCCTTCACTTCCTCCACCCACACCCGAAAAATGACATCAAAAAGAGTCGTTTTTTTTCGCTCAAATTTTTTTTCCTAATTGTTCCCATTTTTTTGAATTTCTTAACAAAAGTTTCATGAGGAAGAAGTTGAAAATTACTCACAGCATGCGCTAAAATACCAATTCAAGAAACACAGACAGCAATACACAGAACGAAAACAATCACTATGCAATAACAAAAACGAAAAAAAAAAACAAAATTTATTTCACAAGACGCCTT